AGGGAGTCTGCTTCTCCCTCTGACCCTCTTCCCTCTCGTGCTTTCTATCTCTCATTCTCTCTCTCTCTCAAATAAATAAATAAAATCTTAAAAAAAAAAAATAAATAAAAAAAGAAGATTTTATTTCTAAGTAATCTGTACATCCAACGTGGGGCTGGAACTCACAACCCTGAGATCAAGAGTTGCCTGCCCCACCGACAGAGCCAGCCAGGTACCCTGCAAATGTTAGCATTTAATTCGAATACAAAATCATCAAAATTACGCGGTTCGTATTTTATAGCTCTTGTATGCACATGTATTTCATCTTTATCAGAACTGAGGAAACACTGAACAAAACTAGCTCAATCATTTTATTCCACTTCTCAGTATCTATATATTCTACTAATCTCTAATTTCAGCCTCATAATAAGGAAGGACTGAAAAGAAAAGAAATTATGAGTTGCCCTGTATTTCCTATTCTTTCTGTGTCATTATTTTCAGCATAGTGGTTGGCTAATACTGAGAAGTAAGGGGAGTAAGAAAGAGTGTGATACGGTTTCTTGCTTGTTTGTGTTTCTTAGAATGCAGTTGCCTTCTTTCTGTGTTGAAAGCCCAAATTCTGGTTTGAACAGCAAGTGTGGCCTCTAGGAGACGTCAGTGTCCTTGCTTACTTGTTTGTAGATGCAACCTGCTTACCTTATACTAGCTTTGGGTTTCCTCAAACTCCCACACATTGTGAACCCAGTGGAATTCTGTGTTCATAGTGCATCTCAAACACTATATACAAATAGGGCAGCAAGGAATAGCGGACCTATTGCACACATCTCCTCTGCTCACATGCACGCTCCAGTGTTCCACCAGATTTCACTCATGAAACACAAATTCAAACATAAAGTTGTTAAGAATTTCAAGGTAATGACAGCGGAGTATTAAACTAAGCTCAGGGCCTTCTGAGAGCAGAGCCCTGAGTAGCCAACATCACTGGCCACTCACCCATGAAGTGTGTACTGCCTGCCACATATGTTTGCACCAAATGTCTCCAATTCCTTGCTACTTGTGGAGAGACTGTTGCTACCAACTCTCTTCTCTCCTTCTTCCTTGGTAACTGAACGCCATTTTTATCTGGAGTTAAAAGGAGTTCAGCTAAAAACTACATTTTCCAGCAGCTTCTGCCACTACTATAGCCGTATGAAGAAGTTTTGGTTAATCAGATGCATGCAGAAATGTATGGGATTTAGGGAAGCCACCTCATTTCTCCTTCCAAGCTGCTTAGAATACAGCTGTGACAGCTAGAACTCCAGCAGTCATCTTGGAACATGAGGTAGAAATTAGGTTCTCTAAGGAAGCAGATAGAAGGTGCCTGAGTTCCTGAAAAATAATGGAGCTGTCACATGAGCCCTTGACAGCTCACCTCAGGGCTTCTTGTGTGAGAAACAAATTTGTATTTCAACCATCATTCTGTATTGAAACCATTATTATTTGGCCTCTTTATTATATGCAGATGAAGCTAATCCTAATTTACAGGTAAAGCTGCACTAGTTCACAAAGGTTAACAAGTTAAACTATGTTTCAAATACAATCCTTGGTGGGACACCTGCGTGACTCAGTTAAGCGCCAGCCTTCAGCTCGGGTCATGATCTCGGGGTCCTGGGATTAAACCCCCTGGTGGGCTCCCTGCTCAGTGGGGAGTTGGCTTCTCCCTCTCCCTCTGCTCCTCCCCCGCTCCTGCTCTCTCTCAAATAAATAAATACAATTAAAAAAACAAAAACAAAAACAAATACAATTCTTGGACAGTCCCAATAACCCTTCTTATTGGGTAACATGTTTTGAAGCCCCTGGCTTGAGTGGCAACCATTTTTTTTTTTAAGATTTTTTTTTATTTGACAGAGAGAGACACAGCGAGAGAGGGAACACAAGCAGGGGGAGTGGGAGAGGGAGAAGCAGGCTTCCCGCAGAGCAGGGAGCCCGATGCGGGGCTCGATCCCAGGACCCCGGGATCAGGACCTGAGCCGAAGGCAGACGCTTAAGCTTAACGACTGAGCCACCCAGGTGCCCCGAGTGGCAACTATTTCTAGGATTAGAGGCACTTTTCCTCTTTCTTCCCAATTCAGGGCTATGTTCTGGTGCTCTGAGAACGCTACAGTGTTACAATGCAATGTGTTAGAATGACAATTATAGTAATAATAGGATAACATGTGAGTATAGCATTTTATTTTTTTCTAAGTAATTTATTTTATTTTTTTAAAGATTTTATTTATTTATTTATTTGACAGAGACAGAGACAGCGAAAGCAGGAACACAAGCAGAGGGAGTAGGAGAGGGAGAAGCAGGCTTCCCACTGAGCAGGGAGCCCAATGTGGGGCTATATCCCAGGACTCTGGGATCATGACCTGAGCCGAAGACAGCCGCTTAACGACTGAGCCACCCAGGCGCCCTTTCTAAGTAATTTAAATACCAATATCTTTCCATGAGCATGGGAAAGAAAATCATTAAAGTTCTTGTGAATAATTGTAAGACTACCTATAAAGATGTCAACCATAAGTCAGCCAACCATGAAAAATGGTTGCTACCATTAAAGAAATCAAGTTGACTAATACTGCCATCTAGAGTTAAAAATGAAAACTACAATTTCTTACCTGTAAGGAAACTGAAACATCAGGGTTTGGGTAGGTCAGCTTTTTTGGTTTGTTTTTGGGTTTTGTTTCTAAATTTTATTTAAATTCCAGTTATTAACATACAGTGTAATATTAGTTTCAGGTGTACAATATAGTGATTCAGCACCTCCATATATCACCCACTGCTCATCAAAGCAAGCGCACTACTTAATCCCCATCACCCATCTAACACATGCCCCCCTCCCCTCTGGTAACCATCAGTTTGCTCTCTATAGTTAAGAATCTGTTTCTTGGTTTGCCTCTCTCTCTCTCTTTTTCCCTTTGCTTGTTTGTTTTGTTTCTTAAATTCTATATATAAGTGAAATCATGTGGTATTTGTCTTTCTTTGACAATTTCACTTAGCATAATTCTTCTTTCTCTGCTAAATTTCACTTAGCATAATACTCTCTAGCTCCATCCATGTTGTGCAAATGTCAAGATTTCATTCTTTTTTATGGCTGAGTAATGTGTGTGTGTGTGTGTGTGTGTGTGTGCGCGCACGCATCTTCCTTATCCATTTGTCAGTCAGTGGATACTTAGGCTGCTCCCATAATTTGGCAATTGTTGATAATGCTGCTATAAACATTGGGGTGCATGTATCCCTCTGAATTAGTATCTTTTGAGTAAATACCTAGTAGTATAATTGCTGGATCATTAGGTAGCTCTATTTTTTTTTAAGATTTTATTTATTTATTTGAGAGAGAGAATGAGAGAGAGAGAGCACATGAGAGGAGGGAGGGTCAGAGGGAGAAGCAGACTCCCTGCTGAGCAGGGAGCCCGATGCAGGACTTGATCCTGGAACTCCAGGATCATGACCTGAGCCGAAGGCAGTCGCTTAACCAACTGAGCCACCCAGGCGCCCGGGTAGCTCTATTTTCAATTTTTTGAGGAACCTCCATACTGTTTTCCAGAGTGTGCACCAGCTTGCATTCCCACCAACAGTGCAAGAGGGTTCCCCTTTCTCCACATCCTCGCCAACACCTTGTTTCTTGTCTTGTTAATTTTAGCCGTTCTGACAGGTAGGTCAGTTTTTTCTCCTACTGACTTATACGGGCTATCCTAATTGTCTTGTCCATTTCTGAACAACCAGAGAGCTGGACATGCAGTGGACATGTGAGAGCATCATGACTAAACACCAGATTCCCCAAGACTGTGAAGGTGAGAGCTGGGTATGAAGCTTAGAGATGTCATAACTCTCTTGCTACCTCGAAGGAGATTCTGGAACTCTGGAGTACACTGTGTGGAGCTAGAAGATGAAACCCTCAGAGCAAGAGACAGGGTGAAGAGATACAGAGACATGGAATCATTAGAACATTGAGTTCTTGGGGCGCCTGGGTGGCTCAGTCATTGGACATGATCTGAAGTCAGATCATGTCGCTTCTCTGTTCAAAAGCTTCCAACTGCTCTCCTTCACCCTCAGCCTCTAGATATGAGCATGACACATTCCCTCATTTTTCATGTCCCCTGGGCCCTCTGCTCAAATGTCACTTCATCCAACAAGTGTTCCCTGAAATCTTATCAAAAAACACAAGTTCCTGGGGCACCTGGGTGGCTCAGCCGGTTAACCCTCTGCCTTCTGCTCAGGTCATGATCCTGGGGTCCTGGGATCCAGCCCCACCTGGGGCTTCGTACTCAGCAGGGAGCCTGCTTCTCTCTCTCCCTCTGCCCTTGTCCCCTGATTGTGTTCTCTCTCTCTCTCACTTTCTCTCTCAAATAAATAAAATCTTAAAAAAAAAAAACAAACCCAAAAGTTTCCTTTGCCCCAACCGTCTGTAACTTTACTCACTGTGTTATTTTTCTTTGAGTTGCCACTTGCCATTATACTAAATATTTACCTCTTTACAAATAGGAGAATGTTAGTCCCAAGAGGATTTTGCATTTCCACTGCCAAAAACAGCCTAGAAAAAAAGGGTAGGCACTCAGATGCTTTTATTAAGCACTCTAAGTACTCCAGGCATCATTCTGGCATATTCTGTTAAATTACTCTAAGGTTAGATTTGCTGCATTACCGTCCACGTTTCATAGATGTGGTAGCTGAGACACAGCTTCGTTAGGTAACTTGCCCAAAGTAACTTGCTCATGAATTTGCTTAGCTAGTATCCAAGTAAATGCAGGAGCTCTTCCTCCGGAGTCCCTCTCTGCTCCTCAGCACTGGGTGCTCACGTATGAGTCCCAAAAGCCACTGGCCGGGACGTCAGGATGACTAAGTGTGCCAGGGCGGAGTTGGGGTGAGGGGAGTTGGCCTCCAGTGTGAGATCAGAGCCGGGCTGGTCCACTCGGCTTCCCGGTTTCTGCGAATCAGCACACAGTGGTCATTAGCCTTTGAGAGCCCTTACGCGCGGCGCGGACAGACCAGGCGCAGGCGGCGGGGCGCGGGAACGGGATGTACCTCTACTGGGGCACCAGCCCCCGAAGACCTCTGCACCGGAGGCGGACCGGCCGGGATGGCGTCGAGCTGCAACAGGCGGCCTCCGGGGAGCGCCACTCGCTGCTGCTGCTGAGCAACGGCGAGGTGCACTCGTGCGGGAACAACAGCCAGGGCCAGCTGGGGCGGAGGGGCGTGCAGAGCGAGGAGCAGCCAAGTGAGTGCGGGACAAAGGCGCGGGGCGGGGGGCCAGGTAGATGCGGGCGCTGGGAGCCCCAGGTCCGCAGGGCCCCAGGATACCGCTTAAAGATGCTTTGTGCGTGGGCGCAACTTCGTCAGTTTCGTTTTCCAGAAGCGCAGTTTGTTTCGGTTTCCACTTCAGTTTAAAAGCGAAACTGAGAGCGGAACGTAACGGGACAGCGCTCTTTTGAAGAGACATGGTCCCTCCCGCTAAGCCTTTTTAGACCAATCCCTGCCAATGCGAATCTATCTGGAATAGTGACCTTCCAAACGTGGTTTATGGGTGGGACATCTCTAACTCTCAGAAATACCGCAGAGCATCTTTTTTTCCCCTAAAATTAAAAGTATAATACCATTTTTACCATTACTGATTATTATAGAAACACAGGGAAATAAATTGCCTATAATTCCAATACCCAAAGACAACTATAATATTTTGATGTATTTGCTTTTTTGCTCTATTATATATTTACTTTTATAAAAGCATGTCATTATATAGTTTTGTGTACGCAGTATTTATACAGCTCTATAAATTGCGCTCTTACGAAACATAATATCATGAACATATTGCCCTTTAATTATGTATTTTTTTTTGAAAATACATTTTAAATTGTTGCAAAACATTCCAGGCTTTGACAATACAAGTTAATGCTTCTTCTAAAAAAATCTATAACATTAGGTTTTTTCCTCATTAGGGACTTTTATAAATAATACTGTGATTGCCATTATTTGACCAAATTTCTGATTACTTACTTAGAATAAATACCAAGAGTTGTGTCTGGGAGGAAAAATTTCTCCTCTATCCTGTTAGCTCTTGTTCTGAAGGTCTGCAAACTAAGCGGACAAAGATTAACCAAAAAAGTATACAATTTTATTAATATTTTATATGCACAGCAGTTCACAGGAAAAAAAGGGGGAAACTCAAAAGTGGTTAAACTCAGGGACTTATATTGCATCTTAGCAAAGAAAAGGGAGTTTGGCCTTCGAAGGATGATCAGTTGTGGGGAAGTGACTTGGAAATATATGGGGGAGACTAATGGAAGATGAGGGTTATTTTGGTAAGGGTTGTCTATGTAGGCTCATCTCAGTGGCAACTCCAGTGATAAGAGTTCCTCTTATCTTTCTGGTATGGGAGAGAATACCTTTACAAGGGAAATTTATGCCCTACTTTTAGGTGACTAAAGGGAAGGCAGAGAACTCTTCCTGCATCTTTTGATTTTCAGTTGCCTTTGGCGCAAAATAATCATTCTGCCAAAGTGGCATATTTTGGGGTGGTGTATCCTGATCCACTTTAGGTGGAGATGAGGGGCAACGTGATACTTGATGCCAGATTGTTCTCCAGGAAGGTGATACCAGTCTCTACCTTCATGAGTGTATGAATCCTTGGGGCGTTTTTTATTATCCCATAGTTTGAAAATAAATCATTGAAAAGGATAAGATCACAAAGGTTTAAAAAAAGAAAACTGAAGTGTTAGCAAAAACTTTACTAGTAGTGATATATTTAGCTCAAAACCTCTAATAATTCAGAGATAAACACTTTGGGAAAACAGTTTAAATTGACTTTTAGGGATCATGCTATAATGATCAGGTTTTCATTTGTGGGTGCCTTTGGCCATTAGAGGCATGTTACTGCATTCTTCTTTGTGAGAGGACCTGGCTTCTGCCTCTCACATTCATGGGGAAGGCTCCCTGCCCATTTCCTCCAGATAAGGGATTGACTATTCTCACTGTTCAGGGCTGGGAAGTCAGAAGGGTAGAGTGGAGGCCATTCCATCTGCTCTCTGTCTCCCTTGGTTTTGTTACCATCATCATAGAGAAATCATAGGCCAAACATCATAGTCTCTACAAGTTCCCCTCCTCCATGAAACTCATCCTTAGGAATGGCAACCACATTCCCATATAGACAGTGGAACACACATTGAGCTGCTTTCCTTCACACCTGCAGTGTGGATGTCAGGCCTTGATTTGAAAGTCCATTGGAAAAGATGAGAAATCTGAGTGTCCCTTCTTTTTGAAGAAAGTAAACTTGTTGTCTTAAACTTGTTAAATTAATAATCTTCTGAGGTGTTTTGTTTTGTTTTTCTTCCTGAAGAACCAATTCGTGCATTGGAAACTCTACGCGTTGATCTTGTGAGCTGTGGAAAGGAACACTCTCTTGCTGTCTGTTACAAAGGAAGGGTCTTTGCATGGGGGGCTGGTTCTGAAGGGCAGCTGGGAGTTGGAGAATTTAAGGAAATAAATCTTATACCTAGGTAAGTATAGTTCCATTCATTCATTCATTCATCCAGTATTTTTCAGTTTCATGTGCTTGGCACTATGCAAGATGTCAGGGTACAAAGATGACTATGATAAACACAGTCCCTAGCCCCAATGATTATAGTGTAGTAAGAGAATGAGACAGGAAAAAACTTCTAACATCAATTGTTACTCAATTAGGGTCTTATGAAGGAGAAAGGCAGGGTGAAATGAAAACATGTGACCCTTTGATCTAAATAAATTTTATGTATTGGAAATAACTGTGGTAAATAAATAAATATAAAAATATATAAATATAAAATATATAAAATATAAAATACACATAAAATATCAATAAAATAAAATAAATATTTTATTTTATTATTTTTAAAGATTTTATTTATTTATTTGACAGGGAGAGACACAGCGAGAGAGGGACCACAAGCAGGGGGAGTGGGAGAGGGAGAAGCAGGCTTCCCGCCGAGCAGGGAGCCCGATGTAGGGGCTCCATCCCAGGACCCCAGGATCACGACCTGAGCCGAAGGCAGACGCTTAATGACTGAGCCACCCAGGTGCCCCAATAAATATTATTTTAAAGTAAAAACATTAAATAAAAGATACAGAAAGCGCCTGGGTGGCTCAGTTGGTTGGGCGACTGCCTTCGGCTCAGGTCATGATCCTGGGGTCCTGGGATCGAGCCCCACATTGGGCTCCCTGCTCAGCGGGAGGCCTGCTTCCCTCTCTCCCGCTCCCACTGCTTGTGTTCCTGCTCTCGCTGTGTGTGTGTCTCTCGCTCTGTCAATTAAATAAGTAGAATCTTTAAAAAAAAAAAAGAAAAAGAACTTCATTTTGGACTAAAGCCAAGTCTCCTTGAAAAAACAGCTGCCATTAACAGCTTGGAGGGAGTTTCCTATGAATTCAGTTGCTGTGAAGACAGACTGCCCAGTCAACATCAAAAAACCCTATGGAAACTTCCATACTCTCCTACTGAAGTCCTAAATCCCCTCCATTTTGCTAGGTTGATATATTTAAGGTGATTCCACAAATTTTCCATTACTGGGAGCTCCCCTCTGTACATGTAAATAAGCCTTGTTTTTTCTCCTGTTAATCTGTCTATTGTCAGTTAATTTGCATGTCCCTTATCGACTGGATCCATACGGGAAAAGGAAGAGTTTTCCTCCCAACATAACCTTTTGGTCTGTCTTAAGTCACTGGATCCTAATAGTTTATGTAGTAAGACGCGGGGTGGTGGGGGGGAGTCATTTCCTCACATACAGCTTCCTAGGACAAACGATATGACAAGCAGTCTGAATTGTGTGTTCATGAATTACATGTTTAAGAATTTTTTTGGCAGGGGGGCTGCCTGGGTGGCTCAGTCGTTAAGCGTCTGCCTTCGGCTCAGGTCAATGATCCCAGGGTCCTGGGATCGAGCCCCGCATCGGGCTCCTCGCGGAGCAGGGAGCCCGATGCGGGGCTCCTGAGCCGAAGGCAGATGCTTAACGACTGAGCCACCCAGGCGCCCCTCAGGTTTAAGAATTTTTAAAAGCATGATTTTTAATACTTGGAAGTTACTCTTTGTTACCTCTTCTGGTTTTTAATTGTGTAAGAGAGTGCTGTGGCTTTGGGGGACAAGTATTGAACTTGGAATGAAAAGATGAAGGTTTGAGTCTAGTTCTACAACATGATACCTATAATGTGATTCCCTAGAGCAAACCAGAACTCTGAATTCTACTAGGTTCAACCATATGAAATTGCTGATAGTTATGTTTTTGATCCACAAAAATGGCAATTTAATAGGATTCAACCTAATGATTTCTTTATCGCATAGGGCTTAAATCAGGTGATATAAATAACAGTGTCCTATAAATTCTAAAGCCCTGTGTCATATGTGCATGAAGAAATTTTTCTTTTAAGCCAATAAGTATTGAATAAAAGTTAGTACATTATATACTGCATTAAATGTCTAATAAAAATCACTTTTGTATTATAACTGGATTTGGATTTGTATTCTGCTCTGTACCTTTACACGTGTTGACATCATGTTAAAAATAGTTTGAGGGCTTTGGAATAAGGGTACTACAGAAAAATAAGAAAATAAAGTTATTTCTGGGGAAAATATGCCCAGGTTACCAACAATCCTGAAAATGATGGATGCATAAATGCAGACTTGGTCTGACAGCAGTTTCAGACAAGTAACTCCTTAAAATTACTGAAGATTCCATGCCAATCAGGAAAATCACCATTACTGTGGTGTTTCTGAATACTACCAAACAGCCTTACATATCTGCAGTCATCCAGAGAACTATTTATTCTATTGTAAAAAACATTAAAATAGCCCAGTTTAAAAAGAAAAGAAAAGAAAGGAAGAGATAGTTATTTCCCTAAACCAAATGTATTACCTGGGATTGTTTTAATATCTGTAGTTCACTTGGTGAGCCACTCTAAAGAAGGATTAATAGATTTTGTATCATTTTTATTACAGGAAGATAAAAACTCTGACTGGTATAAAAATTATACAAGTTTCCTGTGGACACTACCACTCCCTGGCATTATCAGAAGGTAAAAAAAGGGTTCTTGGATCTTCTAAGTGTAATTGCAAAGCGATTTTTTTGAATATGAATGATGCCTGTTGATTTTTTTTTTTTTAATTGATGCCTGTTGATTTTTAATGCACTGGGGCTCATTTTAATGCATTTAAAAGTTTTTTTAACTCTTTAGATTTCATAAGCTGTATTGTTCTTCATTTTTCCCCCTATTTTCTTTGTTCTTATTATAGTCTAAGTAGTGCCTAATTCATATCAATGCCATAAAGGGTCATCTCTGTTCACATGACCTGATCTGACTCAGAATTTAATAACAGTTTTATCTGGAACTTTGCCCTTTATGCTGAGTGGTTATATGTACCAGCAAATTCAGATAGACTAAGGTCTGTCTTTTTTACTTAGCTCAAAGAAAGAAAAGTCAAGATATCAAAGTTGTGACTTTACATTTCTTCTACTAACATCCCCATCCTTTGTCCAGCATCAATCAAAATGTTTGAATGGAGAGTGTTGCAGAAGAAAAACTTTTCTCCTATCCTCTTTGGTTCAGTACCTGGGAGTCTGCAAATTTAAGTGAAAAAAGACAGATTGATAAGAGAAAAAGCACACCAGTTTTATTAATATTTTAGTGCACGGAAGTTTACGGAAAAGAAGTGAAACTCAAGAAGTGTTTAGACTTGGGGGCTATGAGCCATTTTAATGAGGGAAAGGTTTGGGCTTTGCAGGATGATCGATTGTAGGGAGATACATGGGACTTGGAAATACATGGGAGACACTAATGGAAGATAAGTGTTATTTTATTAAGGGTTATCTGTGAAGTATGGTGATAACATAACATAATAAAATAAAATTAAAAAAAAAGGGAGGTTATCTGTGAAGACTCATGTTGAGGCAGACTCTCCGTCTCTGGTGATGAGTCACTGCTGCATCCCAGGTGCAAGAGAAGAGGACACCTTCGCAAAGGGAAATATATACCTTGCCTTTGGGTGGATAAGAGGAGGGCAGAGAACTTTTCCCACACTTGTGGATTCTCAGTTGCCCTTAGCTCGAAATAATCCTTGGGGCACCTGGGTGGCTCAGTCGTTAAGCGTCTGCCCTTGGCTCAGGTCATGATCTCAGGGTCCTGGGATCGAGCCCCACATCAGGCTCCCTGCTCAGCGGGAAGCCTGCTTCTCCTTCTCCCACTCCCCCTGCTTATGTTCTCTCTCTCGCTGTGTCTCTCTCTGTCAAATAAATAAATAAAATCTTTAAAAAAACACAAAAAAACAAAATAATCCTTATGCCAGAGTGGCATATTTTGGGGTGGCATATTGTGAGTGCCTTCCAGGGACACGTAACATTTGCATGGCCCCCAGGTGATGTCATATGCATAATGGCAGCTGTGCCACAGGGACTCCGGACATTTCCTGGTTGCCTTCTGTGCACCAGCTATGTGAGATGCTTTACGCCTGTAATCTCATGAAATCACTTAAACACAGAGGCTGCGCATTATTTGTATCCTCATTTTAGAAATGAGGAAATTTGGGCTCAGAGACTTTCCGTGATTTGCCTAAGGTTACACATTAGGAAAGAGAAGTGAGATTTGAACCTATACCTGTTTACATGCCAACCCTAAGCACTCAACCGCTGTACCACGCAGGCCATGAGACCATAGCATAATCCTGTGGTTATCGTGTAATTCCGTCCTACCATTTCCAGAGATTTGATGTAGGGCAAGTTATTTCACCTGATGATTTTCTCATCTGTAGGAGTACTTATGGGGTGTTTAGAAGATTCAGTGAAAGAAGAAACACAATATATCCTGTACAATCTATAGCAGATGTCCGGGGTACAAGAAATATAGTCTTTTTTCCTTGCTTGCTTTCCTTCTTCTTAATTATTGAAATAGCTTGAATTATTTCCCCAGGGTATTGATTTGTCTTTATATTGGTCTGGACTGAAGGTTGTATGGAGCCCAGATACCCAGTACATTTGCTATGGTGAACTGTGAGTTCTCATAGACCTTCATATGAGTTTGACATTGTGCAATGGGCCCTCAGAAATACTTTTTTTTTTTAAAGATTTTATTTATTTATTTGACAGAGAGAGCGAGAGAGCACAAGCAGGGAGAGTAGTAGAAGGAGAGGGATAAGCAGGCTCCCCGCCGAACAGGGAGCCCGATGCTAGCCTCGATCCCAAGACCTGAGCCCAAGGCAGGCGCTTAAACATCTGAGCCACCCAGATGCCCCAGAAATACTTTTCAGTGGTAGAAATAACTTTAGAAGAGTTAAAAAAAAAAATCAGTTATAATAAACATAAAAATCTGAGCTATGTTAGCATTTTTCTGGGTAAACAATGAAGCATTAGAAGATCTTGATTTTTGGGCGCCTGGGTGGCTCAGTTGGTTAAGCGACTGCCTTCAGCTCAGGTCATGATCCCGGAGTCCCGGGATCGAGTCCCGCATCGGGCTCCCTGCTCAGCAGGGAGTCTGCTTCTCCCTCTGACCCTCTTCCCTCTCGTGCTCTCTATCTCTCATTCTCTCTCTCTCTCAAATAAATAAATAAAATCTTTAAAAAAAAAAAGATCTTGATTTTTGACCTCATGTAAATTATCCATCTCTGGTCAAATTCAACATAAAATGTTGATGGTCTTTTACTCCCATAGAGTCATTCCACAAATATTTTTTAAGTGCCTATGTTTCCAGCAAAGAAGATATAGCAGTGAACAAACCTAAGATTCAGTTTTCATGGAGCTTATATTCTGGGGGGTGTGTAGAGGAAGTGAGCCTTAAACACATAGACAAATAATTATGTCATATAACAGAGGTAAGGGTATGAAGAAAAGTAAGGCCAGGTAAGGGGATGGGAGCAAGTACTTGAGTGGAGGAAAGGAATCTTTCTCTTTTATAAAGGATGTTAGGGAAACTGTTATAAGGTGAGCAGAGACCAAAAGAAGGGAGGAAGGGGGACATAATGCTAAGGCCATGATCCAGAGGTATGATCTAGATGCAAAGGCCATTAATGAGGTAGCAGCATGCTCAGCAGTATGCTTAGGAACAGCAGGGTCCCTGGAAAGGTCTGAACAAGGGGGAGATAAGTTCTGAGACGTGTCATGGCGAATCCTGGTGACCTGGGGCTTGTGAGCATTGGTGAGAATTGGCCTTTTATTGAGTAAGATAGCAAATTCCTAAAGGGTTCAGTCTGACATATTTTTTTTAAAAGAACACTCTGGCTGCTCTTTGGAAAACAGACAAAGATGGACTCTGGGAGCCCAGTGAGGGGCTATTGTAAACTTCCAGGAGAAAAATGATGGTGGCTTGGTGGCTAAGGTGGTAACAGTGGAGAGGTGAGAAGTGGTCAGATCCCAGACATATTTTAAAGATAGAGACTTCAGGATTTGCTAGGCTGAAGGGTGTAAGAGAAAGAAGGGAGTCAAGGATGACTCCAAGATTTCTGGTCTGAGCAGCTGGAAGAGCAGAGTTGCCCTTAACTGGAGGGAGAAGAGGAGTGGATGTTGTTGGAAGGGACTTTTGAAGGTGTTCTTGACCATCCTCCTTGCTTTTAGTCAGAATACTCTAACCTCCTTTATCCCTATTTTAGTTATTAATGACTTTTAGAATGAGGGTGGTAGTTTCTACTTGAATTTGGTGTTCCGATGTGTTTGTAATTCTCAATTTCTCTGCTTTATTTTTATAGATGGCCAACTGTTTTCATGGGGAAGTAACAGCCATGGGCAGCTGGGCCTGGGGAAGAAGCTCCCCTCCCAAGCCAGCCCGCAGAGGGTGAGGTCCCTGGACGGCATCCCCCTCACTCAGGTGGCTGCAGGCGGGGCCCACAGCTTCGCCCTATCTCTCTCTGGGGCTTCATTTGGCTGGGGAAACAACAATGCAGGGCAGCTGGCCCTCCAAAAGAATAATGTCCCAGGTAACGAGATAGTCTTCTTCTTGCAGTAAATCATTCTTTCTCTCCAGTTGGAAGACCAACTCTGCAAAGAGGAATCTCGACGATTAGAGCAGTGATTCCCAAACTTTGTGACACATTAGAATCACCTGGGGAGCCATCTTAATTTTTGATTGCCACTATATTACCACAAACTTGTGACTTAAAACAACATAAATTTGGGCACGTGGGTGGCTCAGTTGGTTAAGTGACTGCCTTCGGCTCAGGTCATGATCCCGGGGTCCTGGGATCGAGTCCCACATCGGGCTCCTGGCTCAGCGGGGAGCCTGCTTCTCCCTCTGACCTTCTCCCCTCTCATGCTATTTCTCTCTCGCTCGCTCTCTAATAAATAAATAAAATCTTTAAAAAAAAATAAAACAACATAAATTTATTATCTTACAGTTCTGGCGGTCATAAGTTTGATTCAGGTCTCACGGGGCTAAAATCAAGGTATCAGTAGGGTTGTGTTCCTTTCTGGAGGCTTCAGGGCAGCCAGGTAGGGGATGGGGATGGGCATTGCACCATTTTCTTGTCTTTTCCCCCTTCTAGAGTCCACCTGCATTCCTTGACTCATAGCCCCCTTCTTCAAAGCCAGCAATGGCTGGTGAAGTCTTCCTCAGGTCACATTACTCTGACAGTGATTCTTCTGTTAAAGAACCCTTGTAATTACATTGGGCCCACCCAGATAATCCAGGCTAACCTCCTTATTTTATTTTATTTTTTATTTTTTTAAAGATTTTATTTATGTGAGAGAGAGCAAGCATGAAAGAGCACAATCAGTGGGGGAGGGGCAGAGGGAGAGGGAGAAGAAGACTCCCCGCTGAGCAAGGAGCCCGACCTGGGGCTCGATACAAGGACCCCGGCACCAAGACCTGAGCCAAAGACAGATACTTAACTGACTGAGCCACCCAGGTGCCCCTAACCTCCTTATTTTAAAGTCAACAGATTAGCAACTTTAATTCTATCTGCTTCATTAACTCCTCTTTGCCGAGTAACCTAACATATCCACAGCCTCTGGGGAAGGACAACTTTGAAGCCCCTTATTTTGTCTGCCATAAGAGCATTTAAAGATCCCAGCGCCCAAGTTAGACCCCATACCAAGTAAATCAGGATGTCTGGGGTTGGAAGCCAGGCATCAGTCTTTATTAAAGGTTCCACAGATTATTCCAATGTGCAGCCAAGCTTGCACATTGGATTAGAAGATGCTAACAGGAGAAACAACCAGTTCGTCTGATAATCCTTAAACAAACTCACTGCGAAATCTTCCCCATGAGCCCATGAGCCCTATCCCTCCTCCCTCTTCTGTTCAGTTCTTTACAGTACTGGCTAACAGATACTCAGCCAGTACTTACATCTCATTTCATTTAACTCTGTCAACATGAAATAAGTCCTCTTATTTTCTCAATTATTATTGCATGCTTGCAGAACACCTACTATGTGACAGAAATGAATATAACATAATGGCAATATTATTGGGAATAAAGGTCTTAAAACTTAGCTTTCTAGGAGAATAGCTTTAGGCATTCCAGAAGATTAAATAGTTTTCAGAGATAGATGCTAAAAGACTGTTTTTCTTTCTTTTCCAAAGCAGGGCCTTCCCTCTGTTTATAATACTTCTGAGTGCTCATTTTGAAAATTATGTTAATGAATTATAAGATGATAGAAATATTAAAAGATGTGAAAACTCATGAAATCTGAGTCTTATACTCTAGAGGTTCTTTCTTTCAGTACTGCAAAGCTCCAAGCCTCGTTCAATTGGTGCGCTGAAGAATCTAGGTGTGATTTATATCAGCTGTGGTTATGAGCATACTGCAGTGCTTACCCAGGTAATTTAAAATGTTTTGCTATTTTTTTTTGAATTCCTGAGAAATGTTACCACAAGGTACATGTACTGACTGTTGTTGAAAGCAATATGTGTATCAGTATCTCAACATATCCATTCAATGTACAAATATCTAAAGAGGAGAAATTAACCAAATATAAACCATGAAATTTTCAAGATCTTATAACAGAAGCTAATTTCAGCTTTAAGAAATATTTTTAGATACCCACTAAATTAGATTAACAGGGTGCCTGTTTGGCTCATTTGGTAGAGCATGCAACTCTTGATCTTGGGGTTGTAAATTTGAGCCCCACGTTGGGTGTAGAGATTGCTTAAAAATAAAATCTTAAAAAAAATTTAAAAAACGATTAATATAGGAGCTAATCCTTTTAGCAATTATTCATTCATAATGTAGTTATACAGATGAAAATTAATGTAGAAGCAACCAAGTAACTTTACAGGTTTCAATAACCCAAATTATAGACTAGAACCTACTTTGTTCCATTTCTTGCTTGGCACAATTACAAGCCCGCTTTGTAAATGTTTGCCTCCTCTTCTTGTACTGGCCAAATAGTATGTTCCAGTGGGATGGATTCTCTCCATAGCCATAAGCAATAGACTTGAAAACTATTTGTGTGGAAAAAAAAAAGAAAGAAAACTATTTGTGTGGTTGAAATGTTTATTTAAAAACTAAATGAATCGGGCGCCTGGGTGGCTCAGATGGTTGAGCGTCTGCCTTCGGCTCGGGTCGTGGTCCCAGGGTCCTGGGATCGAGTCCCGCATCGGGCTCCCTGCTCGGCGGGGAGTCTGCTTCTCCCTCTCCATCTGCTTCTCCCCCTGCTTGTTCTCTGTCTCTCTCGCAAATGAATAAATAAAACCTTTAAAAAAAAAAAAAAACTAAATGAATCACTGACCTCTATCTCTGAAACGAATACATTATATGTTCATTAATTAAATTTAAATAAAAAACATTCATATAAGCTAAAAAGTGAATAAAAACTAAATAAAGTCATTTGCATTATTTATTTTATTTATTTTTTATTAGAGAGAGAGTGGGCATGCACATGTGTGGGGGCCGGGGGGCAGGGCCGGCAGGAGAAGTAGAGAGAGAATCCCAAGGACACCCCGCCTGCTCCCCCGCTCACACGCACTCTATCTCTCTCTAAAAAAAAATCTTTTGAAAAAAGATTATTTTCAGAGATCTCAAAGAAATAAAGCAACCGGCTACTTAAATGTTAGTGTTACTCTTGAACCAATTAATTTGTCCATCCATTCATTCTACAATGAATGCCAACGGTTTTTCACATTTAATGAGTTAACCCTTACATTTATTACTAGAAATAATAAATATAAGACCCCTCCCCTTTATATAGAGCTTATATTTCACATAGTGCTCTCATACAATTCTCTGATGATACTTTTTTTTTTTTAAAGATTTTATTTATTCATTTGAGAGAGAATGAGAGGTAGAGAGCACGAGAGGGAAGAGGGTCAGAGGGAGAAGCAGACTCCCCACTGAGCAGGGAGCCCGATGCGGGACTGGATCCCGGGACTCCAGGATCATGACCTGAGCCGAAGGCAGTCGCTTAACCAACTGAGCCACCCAGGCGCCCTCTCTGATGATACTTAATCTCTAAGTTTTTAGTTACTTTTTAAAATCTGAAATTAATCTGATTCTGTCTTTTTCAAACAGACCGGGAAAGTGTTCACGTTTGGAGGCAATAGCTATGGACAGCTGGGACGCAGCCCCACTGCTGAGAAGGAAGGTCCACAACTCATGGAAGGAATTGATGGCCTAGTTTCACAGATAGATTGTGGAAGGTAAGGGGCTAGTTTTTTGTTTTTAGTGTGAGTAGAAAGTGTTATATTTTATTACTTCGAAATGATTCCTCAGGGCAACCCTCTCAGGTCCCCCCTTCCGGAGCTTTGTAATATATGGTTCAGTAAACTCGGCTGTTCATCAGGAAAAAAAAAAAAAGACTCCTCAGCAATGTTATCAAACCTTAAAACCCAAAATATGTGACTACTCTTTTTATAGATCATTTTCCTTTCTGAAAATTTACTTCTTTCAAATATAGTTTAAGTTTTCTATTTTTTCTAATTTATTCCAGACATTTCATTTATTTAATAAGAATTTATTGGAAGTCTACTGTGTATAGACCACCTTACTAGGTGCTGGGGGTTGGGAGGAGGGTTTAAAATAAAAATAGTGGTGGGGTGCCTGGGTGGCTCAGTCGGTTAAGCGTCTGCCTTCGGCTCGGGTCATGATCTCAGGGTCCTGGGATTGAGTCCCACATCAGGCTCCCTGCTCAGCAAGGAGTTTGCTTCTCCCTCTCCCTCTGCCTACCACTCTGCCTACTTGTGCTCTCTGTCAAATAAATAAATAAAATCTTTTTCTTTTTAAGATTTTATTTATTTATTTGACAGAGAGAGAATGAGAGATAGAGAGCACGGGAGGGAAGAGGGTCAGAGGGAGAAGCAGACTCCCCGCTGAGCAGGGAGCGCGATGCGGGACTCGATCCCGGGACTCCACGATCATGACCTGAGCTGAAGGCAGTTGCTTAACCAATTGAGCCACCCAGGCGCCTGTAAATAAATAAAATCTTAAAAAATAATAAAATAAAGGGCGCCTGGGTGGCTCAGTTGGTTAAGCGATTGCCTTCGGCTCAGGTCATGATCCTGGAGTCCCGGGATCGAGTCCCGCATCGGGCTCCCTGCTCAGCGGGGAGTCTGCTTCTCCCTCTGACCCTCTTCCCTCTCGTGCTCTCTACCTCTCATTCTCTCTCAAATAAAAAAAAATAATAATAAAATAAAATAAAAATAGTGGTGTTTGCCTACTTAAGTTGATAAGACAAGATTTAAAGTATTCTCATGCAAATAGAAGATAATATGTATTTGCATATGCATTCAGAGTTTTGCATAACCTAATTATGAGGACACTGAATATTATCTACCCAATTCATAAAAAACAAAGCTTACATTTAGAACAAAATGGTATAGGGCACCTGGGTGGCTCAGATGGTTAAGCGTCTGCCTTCAGCTCAGGTCATGATCCCAGGGTCCTGGGATCGAGTCCCGCATCGGGCTCCTTGCTCCTTGGGAGCCTGCTTCTCCCTCTGCCTCTCTCTCTCTCTCTGTCTCTCATGAATAAATAAATAAAATAAAAAAATCTTAAAAAAAAAAAAAGAACAAAATGGTATAGGATGCCTGGGTGGCTCAGTCGGTTAAGCAGCTGCCTTTGGCTCAGGTCATGGTCCCAGGGACCTGGGATTGAGCCCTGCATCGAGCCCTGCATCGAGCCCTGCATCAGGCTCCCTGCTCTGCGGGAAGCCTGCTTCTCCCTCTCCCACTGCTTCCCCTCCTTGTGCTCTCTCTCTCTCTCTCTCTTCCTCTGACAAATAAATAAATAAAATAAAATAAAATAAAATAAAATAAAAAACAAAAAAACACAAATGGAAGGAACCATAGTAAAGACCCACTGATAATATTCTATCTTTAAGGTTAGTAATAAGTTAATATTCACCTACCATTTGTTTAGTCACATCATTTGGTACCCTGTCACTGTGACATTATGATAAGGGATCTGAGTACTTAGTATGAGATAAATCTGAGTACTTAGTATAAATACATAAAGTATAAGTATAAGGTATTTTGTGTTAGGAGACATCATCTTTCTCAAAAAGTGTGAGTACTTTGATCTTCATCATATTCTGTCTCTTGCAGTTACCATACCCTTGCATATGTCTACACCACTGGAAAGGTAGTGTCTTTCGGTCGCGGACCAAGTTGCAAAAGCAGCCCAACTCATCTGGAGGCTCTGACAGAGAACGCTGGCTTTACCTGCCTGATTTCTGCTGATGGTACGAGTGGTCCCACTAATTTATGATTTTGTTTTAATTGATGCCACTGGAGGAGAAATATTACTTATCTTCTTTTCACAAGAGTACATAGAACTGTGGTTCTTTTTGTTCTGTTATTTTTAATCTGTACAATATGCATCTTTTCTTATGTAATGATTCCTGGAGTTTTTTTTTCTCTAAAGATTAGGGTAATATGAAAAAGATCCCAAGTCGATGAACTATCAGAAAGTGTATCTTTCTTTTATATATTTAATCAAACCTCTTCTAGGGGCACCTGGCAGGATCAGTTGGTGGAGCGTGTGACTCTTGATCTTAGGGTTGTGAGTTTGAGCCCCATGTTGGGTGTAGAGATTGCTTAAAATCAAATAAAAAAACAAACAAACAGATAAATGAAAAAACCTCTTCTAAAGTACATCACCCTGGTTTCATTATGTAAGTGCATGAAAAATTAAATTTTAAGAATATACAACATGTAACCTGATCAAAATTAATCTTTTATGGTGCTTGTAGTCAAAATTCATCTAGAAGAATATAAATTGCCAATAAATAAGTAAATTTAGCTTGGTAATATATCAGATTTTGTTTTAAAAATTTTATTTATTTTAGAGAGAGAGAGAGCATGCACAAGAGCACGGGGTTGGGGGGGAAGCAGAGGGAGAGGGACAAACAGACTCTATGCTTCTGGAAAGCCCAATGTGGGGCTCAATATCACGACCCTGAGATCATGACCTGAGCTAAAATCAGAGTCAGACACTTAACTGACTGAACCACCCAGGCACCCCAATATATCAGGGTTTTTTTAAGACTATGTTTTTAGAGCAGTTTAAGGTTTATAACAAAAGATTTATTTTTTTACTTCTAAAAACAATAAGCATGGATTTATACTTTCTTTTAGACCTTGTGGATTTTCAAGTCAAACATATTTTTGCTGGAACACATGCCAATTTTGTGACAACTTATCAGGTATCTATTATACTTTCTGTTTCTTTTAAAAATATTCTTTAAAAAACCAAAAACAAACAAAAACAAATAAAAATCATTTTTTTCCGTCTAGATTTCAGAGCAGTGTTTCAAACATTGTCTCATTTGTATGTATTCAAATTTTTTACTAAGAAGATCTTCTGTTAGAATGCTTCTTAAAAAATAATTCTGAGGGGCACTTGGGTGGCTTAGTTGGTTGGGTGTCTGCCTTCGGCTCAGGTCATGATCCTGGGGTCCTGGGATCGAGCCCTGCATCCCTTCCTGCTCGGCAGGAAGCCTACTTCTCCCTCTCCCTCTGTCACTTCCCCTGCTTGTGCTCTCTCTCTCTGTCAAATAAATAGATAGAATCTTTTAAAAAAAAATATTCTGTTATTTTAGGGTTGCCTGGGTGGCTCAGTTGGTTGGGCATCTGATTCTTGGTTGAGGTTTGGGTCTTGATCTCATGGGTTGTGGGATGGCCCTGTGTCAGCTAGGCTCCATGCTCAGTGGGGAATCTGCTTGAAAGATTCTCTTTCTCTACCCCTCCCACTACTTGCTCGCACACTCCTCTCTCTCTCCAATGAGTAAATAAATCTTTTTTAAAAAATGAGGTATAACCTCTTTAAAAAAAATCCTGTAATTTTCACTTTCTCCTAAAAGATGAGACCCCCAAACCTAAATTCATTGCTTCTACACTGTTTATCATTAAGTAATATTGATGATAATAACAGCAGTGATTAATATTAATTGTAGTCATCATGAGTTAGGTACCAATTAAAATACTCCAAGTCGATTGACACATTTAATCCTCATGTCAACTCCAATTGGTATTATTTCCCCCATTTTACAGATGAAAAAACTGAGTCTTAGAGAAGTAGACTTACCCAAAGTTGCACTGCTAAGAAGTGGCAAGGCTAGATTCAAACCCAGGCAATCCAGCTCCAAAGCTTATACCATTATCCACCATACTGTACTACCCTCCTAATTGTTGACAGAGAGGATTTTATTATATTTCTGGGTTGGTTCCGAAATGTCTGTATGGAGACAGAAGTATACAGGCATGCCTCATTATATTGCACTATGATTTAGTGCATTTTTTACAAATTGAAGGTTTGTGGCAATCCTACATAGAACAAATTTATGGGAACCATTTTTCCAACAGCATTTGCTCACTTCTTGTTTCTGTGTCACATTTTGGTAATTCTTACAATATTTCAAATTTTTCCATTATTCCTATTTTTTTTTTTTTAAAGATTTTATTTGATTGGACAGAGAGAGACACAGCCAGAGAGGGAACACAAGCAGGGGGAGTGCGAGAGGGAGAAGCAGGCTTCCCGCGGAGCAGGGAGCCTGATGCGGGGCTCGATCCCAGGACCCTGAGATCATAGATCATGACCCAAGCCGAAGGCAGTTGCTTAACCAACTGAGCCACCCAGGCGCCCCTCCATTATTCCTATCTTTGTTATGGTGATCTGTGATCAGTGATCTTCTATGTTACTGTTGTGATTGTTTTGGGATGCCATGAACTCTACCCATATAGGATGGTGAACCTAATCAATAAATATGTATGTTCTGACTGCTCCACCAACTGGCTATTTCCCTGGCTCTCTCCTTCTCCTTGTACCTCCCTATTTGTTCCCTGAGATAATATTGAAATGAGGAGTTGATGAATAATGAACAAACAATAGGGTCAATGGATTAGAGATCCTAATGCCCTCAAAGAATGTTGGAGTGGGTCCGCTCTAAAATAATTGTCTTAGTCTGCTCTGCCTGCTAACAAAACACTATAGACTAGGTGGCTTACGAACAGCAGAAATGTACTTCTCACAGTTTTGGAGTCTGGGAAGTCCAGGATGAAGGGGCCAGCATACTCAGTGTTTGGTGAGGACATGCTTCCTTGTTTATAGATGGCTGTCTTCTTGCTGTGTCCTCATATGGCCGAAAGAGCAAGAGAGCTCTCTGGGGTCTCTTATAAGGGCACTAATCCCATTCATGAGAGCAGTAATCCCATTCATGAGACCTAGTCACCTCCCAAAGGCCCCATCTCTTAATGCCATTGCACTGGGGATTAGAATTTCAACATATGAATTTGGGGGGGAACACATTCAGTCCATAACATTCTCCCCCCTCGCCAATAAAATTCATGCCCTTCTTGCATGCAAAATACATTCATTCTGTTCGAACAGTCCCCAAAGTCTTAACTCATTCCAGCACCAAAGAATGTTAGATTGGGAGTTTCACTTTAAAGTAAGAGAATCAGAAAAAGGTATATGATGACCAAAGAAGACAATGTCTCTCTCTTTTTTTTTTTTTT